CGTTACTACAAAGAAAAAAAAAAAAAGAATTTTGCATTTCCATTGAAAAATCAGTATGGAAAATGTTGCATGCAATATCTTCTTTTAGAGAACTAGAAATTTTAAATAATATACCCTGTAATCAGTGAAATATGTATAGAAATGCCAAAGAATAGTACGAAAGTAGTTTGTGATTTATGTGCTTTCTTTTTCTAGCCAGCTCAGCCCGCCTGAAGGCAGGGCTGGCGCAGCATATGGTGCTGGGGATTGAACTGAGATTGATCTCAGCACTTGTGTAAGCTTGCCTAAGCAGGTGCTTTAGACTGCTGTGCTATCTCACCAGCCCAGTTTATATGCTTTTTAAATTAATTTTATTTTGTCTTTTTAATTTATTTTTTTTATAACACAGATTTCATGTTTTTGACCTTTATTGTAAGATTTTCCTGATCATGATTAAGACAGCAATTTAAACCATTTGTTTTGGTAGTTTGATTTGACAGTCTGTAATTTTTTTTTAGAATGAGAGGGAAAAACTTCAGATGTGGATAGATGAAATGGACAATATACTTAAGAAGATTGATAACTGTCTCACTGATGTGGACATAGGTAAGGTATTTTAAATACTTCCCTACAGGGTAGAGATGCTGTGTTTGATCCCCAGCACCACAAAAAATAGATAATTACTCTCCTGAAATACTTAATTTTATCTAAATGTTTCCCTACAGTAGAGTTGTTACTGTTACTATTCTGAAGGCTCATATTAACAACTTGAGACCTTAAATTAAAGCAAATTAAAACTTTAAATTAAACCATGTTTATCCACAATTATCAACAAGAGATGTCTGAGATGATGGATGAATCCATTTGGAAAACTCTTTATAACCTAGACCATGATCTGTTGTTACAAGATGAATTTATCTCTTATTTGAAATTGTCTGGACAAATGTGGTACACACCTATAATCCTAGCACTCTGCTGAGGCAGGAGGATTGCCTTGAATTCCAGGCCAGCCTGCACTGCATAGTGAAGACTTGTCTCAAAAAGACAAAAAAGAAAGAAATTGCTAACCTTTCATTTTGGCCTTTTATAAATCCTTGTTAGTTTTGCTTTTT